GCTCCCGCCGGCCCCCGCGCCACCGCTTCCGCTTCCGAGCCGCCGAGAGCGCCGTCATCTTGGCCGGCGTCACGTGACGCGGGAATTTCCCCCCCATGTCCACCGCTTCCGCGTCGCTGCTAGCATCACGTGACGAAGGAGTGTTCCCCATGCCACGGCTTCCGCTTCCGCGTCGCAGACGCCAAAGGCGCCATCATTTTGGCTGGCATCACGTGACAAGGGAACGCCCTCTTCCCACACTCACCCCTCCCCTAAATAACAGAGCCGCCCCAATGACGCTGCCGCCCAGCAGTGGGCGGAGTCTCAAAAACCAGGCCCGTGCGTTGCCATGGCGACTGCGGTGGCAGGCCAGCGCCTGTCATGGCGGCTGTGGGGCAACCTTGGGGCCCAAAATGCGGTTCTCAGGGCAGCGATGGTGCCGCTGCCGCCCTGAGGCAGCCATGGGGCCGCTGTGGGGGGCCTGGGGCAGCCATGGGGCTGTGGGGCGGCAATGGAGGCCACAGTACAGAGGCAGGGGCCATAGGGCGGCCATAGAGTGTCAGTGGGGGCTGCAAGGTGCTATAGGGCGTCAGTGGGGCCGCTGGGTGGTCGTGGGGCAGCAGTGGGGGCCGCAGGGTGGCCATGAGGTATTGGGGGGTTCATAGGGCGGCCATGGGGCCACTGCGTGACCGTGAGGTGGCTGTGGGACAGCAACGTAACCCTCCACTGTTTCTCGTTGAACGTTTCCTTTATTGCACTTCAAAACTGAACAAAAAATAAACGCTTTGCGGCGGCGCCTGGCCTCAAAGTGCAAAGTTTTGCGTGCTCCCCCCTGCCCCCCGCACCTCTTCCCAGCTCCGATATGTGTCCAAATGCTGTCCCCAATGCCAGGGGAAAGGGGGGCACAGGCTCCAAAAAGCCCTGAAATGGCCCAAATTGGCCTGGAGGCTGCGGTGGGCAGGGCAGGTGGGAGGTGAAGGGGATGCGTGGCCAGGATGGGGTCATTGTCATTGGGGTGTCATCATCATCAAGGCGCCACCTCCCCAAGCCACCCTCATCCCCGGGATGCCACCACTGTTGGCGGTGGCATCAGCATGGGGGTGCTGTAGCCATCAGGGTGCCACTGTCCCTGGAGCGTCCCCAAGGCCATGGGTCATCCTGAAGGCCCCAGGGCATCATCATCATTATGATGCCGTCGTCCCCAGGGTGCCACCATCATCGGGCTGCCATCACCCCTGGGGTGCCATTGCCATCCAGTGTTGCCATGTGGTGGCACTATCATCCCCAAGGGACCCTCATAGCTGTGGGACATCCCTGGGGCACCCCAGAGCATATCCACGCCATCGGATATCCCTGTCCTTGGGGCATCCCCATCTCCAGGAGTGTCCCTGTAGTTGGGGACATTCCTAAGGCTGTGGGGCCTCCCTGTCCCCAGGGTGTCCCCATTCTGGGAACACCCCCAAGGCCATGGGGCGCTCCACATGGGCCTGGGCTGTCCACATCCCTAGGGTGTCCTTATCCCTGGAGCAGCCCCAAGCCACCAAATTGTCCCTGTCCCTGGGGTGTCCCTGTCCATGGGGTATCTCTTAGGCCATGAGGTGTCCTCACTCTGAGGACACCCCCAACACAGAACATCTCCTGAGGCATCCTCGTCGTTGGGGCGTCCCTGTCCTTGGGGCATCTCCAAGAGGTGTCCCCAGCGTGTCTCCATCCCAGGAGCTTCTCCAAGACCACGAGGCACCCTCATTCACAGGGAGCCCTTGTCCCTAGAGCATCCCCAAGACCGCAAGCTGCCCATGTCCCTGGAATGTCCCCGTCCCTGGAGCATCTCCAGGAGCACAGAGCGCCGCCATGCCGGGGCGAGGGCCCGTGCAGGTGCTCAGGGCTCGACGGGGAAGGCGAGGAGCTTCTCGGCGTGCTGCCTGTTGAGGCTGCGCAGGTCGGGCAGGCGCAGCAGCACGCGCGCGAACAGCCCCGCGTCGTCGGGGCGCCGGCGGGCGAGCAGCGCGCGCAGCGCCTGCAGCAGCGTCTCCTGCAGCGCCTCCACCGCCTCGGCCGCCGCGATGCCCGCGCGCTCTGCGGGGCACGGCGCGGCCGTCAGCGCCCGCCGCGCGCCCCGCCGCGCGCCCGGCCCCGGCGCCGCGCGCCCGCTCACCCGCCGACAGCAGCACCACGGCCATGAAGAGGGCGAGCTCCTGCGTGTCGAGCGCCAGCGCCGCCAGCTTCTCGCTGAAGTCGAACATGGCGTCGAGCAGGGCGCCCATGCCCAGCGCCCGCAGGCTGCTCAGCGAGTAGGTGTCGCCGCTGAGGAAGGTGAGCGCCTTGTGCGCGGGGTGGAAGAGCGCCGAGAAGCGAACCATGAGCACCTGCGGGCAGCGGGGCCGTGGGTGGGCGCGGGGGGACGGCGCCTGCTGCGTGCACTCGGCACCCCCACGGGGACGCGCCGCATGCGCCCACGGCCACGCGTACCAGCCCATGCACCCAAGCAGGAGGAGCGGGCACGCACGGGGTGCGCGCACTGGATGCATGCAACTGCGTAGGGTCTGCAGCCAAGCAGGAGGAGCGGGCATGCACAGGGCGCACGCACTAGATGTGTCCAAGCCCGTGCACCCTGCACCCAAGCAGGAGGAGCGGGCATGCAAGGGGCATGTGCACTAGATGTGTGCAAGCCCGTGCACCCTGCAGCCAAGCAGGAGGAGCGGGCATGCACGGGGCACGCGCACTCGATGTGTGCAAGCGTGTAGGGTCTGCAGCGAAGCTGAGGGGTGCGGGCATGCACAGGGCGCGCGCTCACCTGGAAGGTGCCGGCCTTGAGCAGCAGCACCTGGTCGTGCTGCGCCAGGGCCTGGAAGCCGGGGATGCTCTTGGCGAACTCCACAACGCCGGTGACGGCGGGCGTGAAGCAGCGCGAGAAGTCGTGCCAGGCCTGCTGCCGGCTGCCGCCCGCCCCGCACCACGGGCTGCGGTTCAACGGGCAGGCCTGCGGCCCGCGTCAGCACGCGGGGCACCACGGGCCTGGGGTGCCCATCCCGAGGGATTGGGAAGGGATGGGGACCTGGGCGCCCATCCCAAGGGATTGGGAAGGGACGGGCCCTGGGCGCCCATCCCAAGGGATTGGGAAGGGACGGGCCCTGGGTGTCCATCCCGAGGGATTGGGAAGGGATGGGGCCTGGGGTGCCCATCCCGAGGGATTGGGAAGGGATGGACCCTGGGGTGTCCATCGCGAGGGATTGGGAAGGGATGGGGACCTGGGTGTCCATCCTGAGGGATTGGGAAGGGACGGGGCCCTGCGTGTCCATCCCGAGCGACTGGGAAGGGACGGGCCCTGGGGTGCCCATCCCGAGGGATTGGAAAGGGATGGACCCTGGGGTGTCCATCCTGAGGGATTGGGAAGGGCCGGGCCCCGGGGTGCCCCTTCCAGGGCACCGGGAAAAGGACAGGGCCCCGGGGCACCCAGCCTGTGGGGTTGGGAAGGGACAGACACCCCCTGTCTCTCACGCGGGGGGCACGGGGACCCCCGGGCACCTCCTCAAGGGATGGGATAGTGCGAGTGGCCCTGGACGCGCGGCCCCCTCCCCATGGCGCCCTGCGGGCTCTGCGCCCTTCGGGTACTCACGATGCCGCGGGGGCCGGGGGGCCGCCAGGGGCAGCCGCGGGGGGGGGCGCAGCCGGGGGGGCCGCAGCGCCTCGGCTGGGGGGCGAAGGGGCCGGGGGGCTCCCCTGGGGCGGCGCCGCCGAAGAGGGCGCGATAGGCGCGGGACACGGCCCCGATGGCCTCCTCGGCGGCCCCCGCCGCGCCGGGGGGGCCCTCGGGCCCCGGCCCCCCCCGGCCCTCGGCCAGGCGCTGCAGGGAGCTCTGCATCTCGTCCAGCAGCCGCTGCTTCTCCCGCTTGGGGATGCGCCCGAAGCGCACGGCTGCGGCGGGAGGGGCGACCGTCAGTGCCGCCCGTGCGCCCGCCCGGCACTGGAAACACTGGGATGCACTGGGAACCCTGGGAGCATTGGGATGCACGGGGAGATGGATACTGGCATGCATTGGGAACACTGGGATGCAGGGGGAGATGGAGACTGTCATGTCCTGGGAACACTGGGATGCATAGGGAAATGGATCCTGGCATGCACCAGGAACAGTGGGAGCACTGGGATGCTCTGGGAGCACCGGGAAGCCTTGGGGACGCTCAGATGCATTGGGGCTGTGCTGGGAAGCGGCGGAGGCGCCGGGATCACGCACCGTCGCGGGACATGCCCACGGCCAGGCACTTCTTGAAGCGGCAGTGCTGGCAGCGGTTGCGGCTCACGCGCACCACCAGGCAGTTCTCGTTCTTGACGCACATCTTGTAGCTGATGTTCTGCTGGATGCTGCGGCGGAAAAAGCCCTGGGGGGCCCGCGGGCTACGTCAGCCGGACCCTCTGTGCCCCGCTGCGGGTCCCAGGTACCCCCCAGAGTGACCAGGAGCCCCCTGGGACACTGCGAGACGCCCCAGGACACCTCAGGCCACCCTTGGCTCCTGGGAACCTCCAGGGCCCCCTAAGGACCCTCCCCCCGATTCTGCCAGACCCCTCAGCCCCTCCCCCACTCTCTGTGGACCCCCCCAGGGACCCCTCAGGGTCCTCGCGCCCCCCCTTAGGGACCCCCCGGGTGCACCCACCTTGCAGCCCTCGCAGGCGTGGACACCATAGTGGAAACCGGAGGCAACGTCGCCGCACACCTTGCACAGCAGCACCATCCCCCCCGCTTCTGGGGGGCACAGGGGGCTCAGCACCCCCCCGGCGGCACAGGCACCCCCAAATCCTCAAGGCTCCCTCCACAACCCCCCAATACCTGCAATGAAGCCCTCCACACTCCAGCAACCTCCTCAGGTCCCCCTGCAGCCCAAGGGACCCTTGCACCCCCTAGAGACCTCTGTGCACCCCCAGAACACCCCCTAGACCCCACAAATACCCAGACATGCACCAGGGACCCCTTTAGGGTCCTCCCAAACCCTCCAGGGACCCCCTTAGGACCCATCTGCACCCAAGCCACCCAGGACCTCTCGGCACTCCCAGGGACCCCCCCCTCCCAGGCCACCAGGAGACCCCTATGCATCCCCAGGACCCCCCCAGAAATGTCCCCAGGCTCCTCTCACCCTCCCCCCCCGCCCCCCAATTCACTCCCCAAGGGCCCCCACCCAAAGGGGCAGCCCGGATCCCTGGGGCTCCCCCTTACTGGCGAAGGTGCCGTTGGGCCTGGGGGGGCCGGCGCGGGGGGCAGCGGCGGGGGGCGACCGGCCAGGCCCGGAGCAGCGGCCGCCCTCAGGGAACTGGAAGGCCACCTTGGGCGAGGGGGGGGCGGCGGGCGCCGGCACCCCCAGCTCGGCCAGCGTCAGCCCCTCCAGCGCGGGGGGCAGCGCCAGCGGCGGCGAGGGGGCCCGCAGGGTGCCGGGGGGGCCGCCCCGCGTGGGGCTGCTGCCCGCCGTGGAGCCCACGTAGAGGATCACACCGCCTGGGGGGGGCGGGTTAGTGGGGGGGGGCACCCTGGGCCCTTCACTGCAGTGTCCGGCCCAGGGTGCCCCTCACCCTGGTGTCCGGGCTGCATTAACCCCCACCCTGGCGCCCCAGGGTGCCCCTCACTTTCGCATCAGGGCTGCATTAACCCCCACCCTGGCACCCCAGGGTGCCCCTCACCCTGG